CGACTCGACTCGACTCGACTCGACTCGACTTTGCGACTTCGACCATGAACGACGACTGCGACGACTCCAAGCCCTTTGAACCTTGACAATTTGATTGCTCTGGCGATCCACGTTGGGGCGGCGCGCGAGGCTCGCGCGGGCATCTGCGCGGGCGGAGCGGCGTCGCTAGTGGTGGCTGCCGTCTTATCTCACCCGGGTCGACCGCCTTGGGTTGGGGATAAGGGAACAGGCGATTAGCAAGACCTGTTGCTCCCACTTGGATTTCTACTTTAGCGGGCTGGTTGACTCTCTGCTGTTTGGGCTGCTGCTGCTCGCGATGCCTTCACATTACTTTCTCGCTTCTACGACCACAACCACCACCTTTCAACGGCGTCGCTTTGCAAGCACTGCTCTGGCCAGTATGGCGGGGGTAGGAAGCACGCCGTCAGTAGACTCCCATCCTGCGCCCGTGGGGGGCAGAGTGGCGTCGAGACGTGGACCGCCTCTGCGCATGCTTGCGCTCCTGTCTCGGAACAAGGGCGACACCCTGCCGTGGCCCTTTGGGGCTGTTCGAGGAGACGACGCTGCGCGCATGGGCAACGTGCGAGGCGGTGCATACGCTTGCGAAGGGAACGCGCAACGCTGCGGGCCCACTGCGCACCGGCAATGACCGCCCTCAGAACAGAGATCTGAGACGTTGGCGACCGGGGTCTGGGCTTGTCTGTCGCCTGGCGGTGTGCTTAGTGTTGATGGCGAGGATGACTCCTCGTTTCTTAACGGACGAGCTTTTGGCTGACTCCTGCCTTTTGCCTCTTTTTGGCTCCAAAGCAGCTCTTGTTCAACATTTGTACTTTTACACATCCGCCTTGCGATTCATCCACTGCATTCTGTAGCCTTGCGGGGGATATGTTGGATTGGCGATGCTGAGAGTGCGTGAGGATGTTCAGATCTGGTCGGGGTTGTCGGTGTAGTTGGCCATTGGATCTTCGCTTCTGGCGGGGGCGGAAGCGTTGATGCGACGGTAGGCTTCGAGTTGCTCTTCGGAGACCTCTGTGTCAGCTGTGGCGTGGGCGGGGTGGTGTTTGGCGTTGATGCGTTGGGCGTCCTGGAGCCAGTCGGGTAGCGCTTCGAAGCGCCTGCGTTTTGCCTCGTCGAGTTGGGCGGCGAGGGCGGGATCGTGGCGCGCGCGTTCTTCCAGCATGGCCGCTTCCAGCTTGCGACTGTCGAGTCGAGACGCTACATCTCCTGACCCCAGCTCTTTGCGCGAAGTGTATCCCGAAGATTCGGCATCTCGATGGGTCTTGCGAGATGACCTTTGTCGAGCCGAATCTTGTGAGCAAGACGAGTCGATGGATCTCGATCGATGCCGCTTTCGCTCCTTGGACGCCTTCGCCGGTGGTGGCGGAAGGAAGGTGGCTTTACTCGCTTCGATACCAGCCTCGCCTGTGCAGTAGCTGTTGTACACGGTCGAATGACAGCACCTATACCCCCACACTGCGGCTGCCACATCGTACCACGACCCCCAAACCGCCGTATGGTTATTCTCCACCACATCCTCCGCATACTTGCTCCTCGCCACCGCCTTCTCCAACCCCTTGACCACCCTGCCTGCCTGATCGTACTCTACGTAATGCTCCGTCTGTCCCACCAAGAGCTCCCTCGGCAGCGCATCAAAGTGCTCCTCCCCTCCGTACCGCTCCAAAATGCTCCCCTTGGTCTCGGCACGCAGCTTCTGCTTGCGCTGCTGGAACTCGCGGTACTGCCTCTCGTTGGCAGTCGGATTCGCCTGCAGATTCAGGTCGTTGCCGCGCGCCTCGGCCTGCCAGGAAAACATCTGCAGATTGGCCAGTTGCGACGACTCGCCGCCCTGCGCACGCGCAAAGTTGTCGCCCGCATACTCGGCATCCTCGGGCCGGATGTGCGGGTTGGGCGCCTCGCGCATCGTGCGCGTCTTGGGATCGTAGTACGCCGAATCCACATCGAGGTTGTACAGATACTTGGCCCGGTCTTCGCGGATGCGCAGGTTGCGAATCGTCATGCGCTTGTCCGTGTCCACCTTCTGCCCCACCGCATCCGCCTTGTCCGCATACTTGTCGTCGTCGCTGTCGTCGCTGTCCGACGAGCTAAAGTCTCCGTCGTCGGTCTTGGAGCGCGACTTTTGCACGAGCTTCTTGGCGTGGCGCAGGTCGGACGACGTCGCATTGTCGATCTGCTCCTCCTTGAGCCGCCTGCGCTCGTCCTCGATCGCCTCAAACTCCTCGACCACCTTCCTGTGCTCCGAGGGGTCGTAGCCGTTCCACCGGTCGCGCTTGGCCGCATAGTCGAGCCCCTGCACCTCGTCCAGCACATGGTCCGCGGCGAGCGTCTTGCCGAGCTTCTTGGCGCCCTTCTTGCGCGGACGCTCGAGGCAGTCGCGCGTCTTGTGCGACATGGAGCCGCAGTTCTCGCACGCGCCCTTGCGGAACTTCTTGGCCGCCGGTGCTTCGGACGAGGTGGAGCCGCGCTGGTACCAGTCGTTGATGCCCGCCTTGACCGCGTTGGGGTCCACGGGCTTCTTCTGGTGCTTGAGCGAGCGCGAGCCGGTGTCCATGTACCAGGGCGCCTGTGCCATGTAGGCGGGAACGTGCGGGTTGATGATGTTGCCATCCTCGTCGAGCTCGGCGGGTGCCCTGCCGGCTTTGCGGTCCTCCTCGAGGTCCTTTTGGCGGCGGAACTCGGCTCGCGAGAGCTTGCCGGGCGCCGCCGCAGCTGGTGGAGCGCCACCGCCGGGCGCGGTGGATGAAGATGCCGACGCCGACATGGGTGTCGAACAATGTGCAATGTGGCAAGATGGTGGAAGAGAGGCAAGGCGCAAGGGTGCTGAGTTGATACCACCTTTGCCAATGCAGGGTCGCTCGGGCGAAAGATGCGAAACTCCACTCAGCCGGGCTTTTCGGCAAAAGGTCTAACACAGCTGAAAATTCAGGAACAGATCGGCGATGGAAGGCACCGGTAGTTTGCGGATCGGGCTGCGACCTCCACGCCGGCGCGCCGTTTTGGCAGCGAAGTCGGCTTTTGTGCTGCCGCTGCCGCTGCTTTTGCTCAGCCTTCTTTCCTTCCCTCTCGACCAAGCGAACGACGCGCACCCTTGTTCATCGCACCGCCACCTCGCCCCGGATGGCCTGCGCTTGAACACATATCGATCGATCGAGCAGCATCATGGCGCCTCACGGTGACCAGCAACCGTCGTCGTCGGGTGGCCTTCGCATCGCAGGAACTGCCAGTCGCGCCCAGGCACCGTCCATTTCCACCTCGGCACCTGCCACACAGCCCCAGCCGCCCAAAGCCCCCGCGGATATCTACAGCTCCAGGCCGCAGCCAGCCGCTCTCCCTGCCCAGCCTATCGAACGTCCATCGCGCCCAGGTCTTCCGTCGTCCAACGGCAACAACCGCAACGGACGTCATCAGGCGCCACACAAGGATCAATCTAGCACAGCTGCTCGCCCACCAGCCTCGTCGCTGGATGACGACGACGAAGAGGGCGCCATCGCAGATCCAGACGATTCGCGCCCGCGTCAGCCTCGTTCTCGTTCAGATCGTCCAGCCTCGCCATCATCATGGCGTCCGCCACCTCCAAAGACACCGCCGCACCCAGCATCAGCCGACCAGAAAAGCAACCAGCGCTCCAACGATGCCAGTCGAAACAACAACTCGGCGCGTGAGCCACATCGCCCGTACCTATTGCGCTCTCCCTCGCCATCTCGTGCACCATCTCGTCCCTCTGAGTCGACTTCCTCGCATCCGTCTTCCAACAACAACAATGCTTCGTCCTCGTCGAGATATGTTCCACGAAGCCCTTCACCGCGCGGCAGGGATGCTGCTTCGCGTCCCTCCAACGATCGCCCAGATGCGCGCAATCAGCGCCAGCCTCACGATTCCGATCCCAGCCACGGATGGGACCGCGATTGGGACCGCGACAAGACTCGTGAATCCGATCTTAGCCGTGGGAGGGACCGCGATTGGGACCGCAACAAGACTCACGACTCCGATCCGAGCCGTGGATGGGACCGCGAGTGGACTCGCGACAAGATGAGGCAACCCGAGTCGGCGCGACCTTGGGGACAAGAACGCCGCCCGGAGAGGCAGTGGGGTGCGGCTCCTCGTGCACCGAGGCAGAACGACCGCGACTACGATGCAAGAAGGCTCGACGCAGACTTCGGCAGGGATGGGCGACGGAATATGGACGTGGACCGCAACCGCGACCGCGACCACGACCGCGGCTACAGCCGTCCCTGGGGCGGTGGCGATCGCGATCGGAACAGGCACCACGATGACACGGTCCCCAGAAACGGCAGAGACAGGGAGCTCTCTCCGTCTGCACCTGCCCGCGACAAGCAGCAGTTCCGAGGATGGTCTCCGACCCCGCCGCACACCAAGCCCGAGGCTCAGCCTGTCGATGCGCCGCCGCGCGAGAACGGGCAGCGCCATGCAGACGCTTTTGCCAACCGCCCACCCTCGAGGATGGGCAGAGACAAGCCGCCGCTGTCGTTCTCGCGTCCGGAATCGACGTCCGGCCAGCCAGCCGACAACGAGCGCCCGCCCAAGCGTCCGGCCTCGCCTGCCCATCGCTCGCCTCCCGCTGGCCTGCTCAAGCGCAAGCCCAACTTCAGCGCAGTCGTACCGCCCACTTTGGTCTCGCCGCCGGGCAACACTTCGTCCGCTCCAGATTCGGGTGGCAGCACCAACGTCGCTCCGGGTGCGCCTATTCATCCCAAGGTCAACACGATGGAGTCGCCCGTCGTGCCTTCCGCGGTCGCATCCCGGCTGGGCTCCGAGTCGCTTGCAAACAGCCGTCCAGGCTCGGCACTCCCCACGTCTCTTGGTGGGGGTGTCGGCGCCGCTGCCACAACATCGTCCTCCGCTGCGGCTGCAGCTGCTCCGACCGATGCCAACTTCGTCACGGTTGTCGATGCGCTCGATGACACCGACTGTGCGTCTGTGCGGCTGTCGAGTCTGCCGCGCAAGCTGCCGGATGTGCCCATGTCTGGCCGTGAGCGGCGCAAGGCGCGTGCGCCACCAGTGCCGCTCAACCAGCGCAAGTTCGTCGGCTGCTCGTCGCTCGACGACTACGAGATCTCGATCAAGCTCGGGCAGGGCACGTTTGGCGAGGTGCTCAAAGGGCGCCAGATCCGCACGGGCGTGCAGGTCGCACTCAAAAAAGTCACCATTCACGACGCCAAGGACGGCCTGCCCATCACGGCGCTGCGCGAGATCAAGCTGCTCAAGAAGCTCAACCATCCGAGCATCGTGCCGGTCATCGACATGGCCTATCGGCCTTCGGGCGAGCGCGGCAAGCTCGGCGACGTGTACATGGTGGAGCCCTACATGGACCACGACCTGAACGGCATGCTCGAGAACCCCAGCATCCGGCTCGAGGTGTGCCAGATCAAGCTGTACATGAAGCAGCTGCTCGAGGGCACGCTGTACCTGCACAAGAACCGCATCCTGCATCGCGACATGAAGGCGGCCAACCTGCTCATCAACAACAGCGGCCAGCTCCAGATCGCCGACTTTGGCCTCGCACGGCCGTACCGCGATCCGGGCCAGTCCTGGACGGGCAAGGGATGGACGGGCGGTACGCACCGCTACACCAACATGGTCGTCACGCGCTGGTACCGTCCGCCCGAGCTGCTCGCGGGCGAGAAGAAGTACGGCCCGCCCATCGACATGTGGGGCATCGGCTGCATCCTCGCCGAGATGATCATGGGCAAGCCGCTCTTCAAGGGTACCTCGGAGATCAACCAGCTCGAGCTCATCGCCAAGCTGTGCGGCTCGCCGGACGAGACCAGCTTCCCGGGCTGGAAGTCGCTGCCGGGCGTCAAGGATGCCGATCCGACCGGCAGGCCCGATCCGCATCCCGAGGTGCCCGGCCAGCACGACTTTGGCTCATACCCGAGAAGGGTCAAGGAGCAGTTCCGGGGCATGTACGACGCAGGACCCGGGTGTGCGGATCTGATCGATAAGCTGCTCGTGCTCGATCCGACCAAGCGGCTCACGGCGCAGCAGGCGCTCGCGCACGAGTGGTTCTGGACCAAACCGTTCCCTGCCGACCCGACCAGCTTGCCAAAGTACGAGCACTCCAAGGAGATCGATCGTGTGCGCAGGGAGTGGAAGCCTGCGCCCGCGCCGGCGCCTGCACCTGCACCTGCCCCCGCCACGATGCAGACCTCCACGGTTTCCGGCGGTATGCTTGCCAACGCGCAGCGTGCGCCGCACATGCCACCTGCCATGCAGCATACCAGGCCGTATGGCCGCGGCCCTTACGTGCCAGCCGTAAATGGAGCGGTGCCATCGAATGCGTGGGATGCCCCACAACCGAGCGCCTACGCACAACAGCGCCCTGTGCCGTCACAAGGCGGTTTCCAGCCCCGCCCGCCTCCGGCACGCCACCCCTACCCGGATCCTCACACACGCTACCCGCACCCGGGCCAGCAACGTCCGCCTCCACCTCACCATGTGCCTCCGCCTCCTCGCGCTGCCAATCTGCCTGCGCGACCGAACTATCCTCCCCGCGGTGCACACAACCCTTACTCCTAAGCACATCGCTGCAGCCACACCTTTTTGCGTGCACTTTTTGTTGCAATTTCAGTGAAAGTTGGAGCGGCACTGACCGAAGTTTTCCGAGTCGAACGAGGTGGTCATCTCCACCTCGTCGTTGGCGGTGGGGAGGGACCATTGGCGCTTGAGTCGTACGGAGCTTGTTGTCCTTGGGCGGTGGGCTGTGACGGGAGTGGGGGGTTGGGCGATGATGACGGGGACGGCGGTGCGGATGACTGCATCGAGGGTCTGGGATGAATCGGGGCTGAGGGGGGATGTGCACGATGCGAGCGAGTCGTAGCTGCGCTGGCATTGGGCTTGAAAGGGGTTGGATTCGAGATGCACGTCGTAGGGCGGTGGGGTCGGGTGGCAGTAGAAGCCTTGGATGGGCAGCGCGCGCGACGAGATTAGCGCGTTTAGGACCAGGTCGCGACGAGCAGGCATGGTGGTGTGCGACGAGACCGAGATGGAGTCGGTGCGCTCCAGACCCGCTCCACGCCACGCTGCAAAGCGCGACCCGGCCGACGAAGGAGTCGGATCCACTTCGCTGCGGCTGCTTTGCTCTGTCGCGATCGAGGTCGAGGGCGGTTCGTCCCTCGCTTGACGACGAAAGAGTCGCATCGCCATGGCTACATACCCCGCCACATCGCCAGCTTCCCCGGGCTGTGGACTTGCACGCGCGCATGTCTCGACGACTTGACTCTCCGCGCGAACCTCGGACCTCCTCGCCCTCCTGTGATGCGCACCAGCACCCTCAAGGATGCTGGCGAGCTTCATGTGCGACGCGGGGAACAGCACAAAGGGCGCAAACAAGTTGAGCGAATTGACCGTCTTGAGCAACGTGAACCAGCACGATCCAAACATGTCGACGTGGGCCGCCGCGATGCTCGCCGCGTGCGCCTCGCGCGGATAGCTCGCAAACACCATACACAGCCGCGTCTAACCACAAGAGCCACGTCAGTATGCAATCTCGACTTTGGCAAAAGGGTTTGGGGTAAGGCTTACTGAGGAGGCACCGAATTCGAGGCAGAGAAGCGCGACGACGACGTGGTCGATGACGCAGCTGAAGAGGAACCGGCATACGGCGAGGTAGCCTTCGTCGGTTGCCAGCGCGTCGTGCACGCCGTCGGCGCTGCATGTCGGTGGTGATGCAGGCGTGTCTGGTTGCGCGCGCTTTTCGACCAGCGGGACCGGTGAGGATTCGGCCAAGTTGCTGCCGACGGAATCGTGGTGGCGCTGCGCAGACTCTCCCAAGCTGTACGTCGAGTCGGGCGTTGCACATCGCAAGCTCGGCTGCGGCGTCGGCGGCAACGGCGCATTCGGAGCAGGCTTGGATGGCGGAGGAGTGCGAACTCGAGCGCGGTTGAGCTGGCTCAATCCTCCCGGCTGCGCCAGCAGCTTGGAAATGACCACTGCCTCGCCGACGTCTTGCACGGGTGCCATGCTGCTGTGCCTGGTGGTCTTGGCAGCGCTTGGTGTCTGACGAATATGCACGAGCTCGGCGGCGATCTTGCGCGTGAGCATGGCCAGGACGACCAGGTAGACGATTGCAAGCATCACACCGCCCGCGGCAATGATGCTGTATATCTGCAGCAACCACCTCCTCCTCTGCTCTGCCTCTGCATACGTCCTTGCGACCAAGGCGAGCGACTCGGCATCCGCCCTCGCAGCCGCGTCGAATCTGCCCGGTCCCTTCCAGCCACGCAGGCCTGCACCGACGCACAGATGGTCGTACACCGCCTTGCGCAGCGCATCGATCTGGACCGCGCTGCGTGCACTGCCCACAAAGCACGCCAGCGCATACACAAAGATGCCCGCATACACCCCCGCCACGCACCCATTCCATACTACGGGCCTCGTATTGGGCGCCAGCACCGCCACATACCCGAGTGTCGAGAAGTAGGCGGTGGAAAAGATAAAGGCGATCATGATGATGTGCCACACCTCGGGGCTTAGCACTGGCGCAGCATCGCCCGCCCCGCGCGACGTGTACGACACCACGGTCTTGATGAAGAGCGACAGCACGTATACCTCGGAAAACACCAGGTGGCAGTTGATGCACGACGCTGTGATGAACTTTCCCACGCGTGTCTCCTGCTTGCCCGGCGTCGTGTGGAAGAGCGTCGAGATGCGGTGCCAGACAGACGTGTTGGTGCGCGTGTGGATGCGCACGGTGTAGGTGCGCGTTTCGAGCTTGAGGAACCACAGCGGCGTGCGGCGGTGTCCGTAGAGCAGCATCGCCATGACGACCCCCATGAGACTGACGAGGTTCAGGCAGCTCGTAGTCCACGTGAGCCCCCAGTAGCCACGCGGGTAGATGTGGAGCGCGAGCGCGTCGAGAAGCTCCATCACCTCGCCCGCCGTCGCATTGTGCAGCGGCCCCATAATCTCTTTCGACATGATGAAACGGATCAGGGTCAAGAAGATCGTAGATGCAATTCGGACCGCAACTCGCTTCCATTCGGCTGGGATTATATGTACTTGATCACTCCCAGCGACGGGTTGGGATCCAGAGAGACGGTACGCACCTGGCACGCATCACCACGCTGATCCCTTCGCTCGCCACATCGAGGCGGTTGAAACGGCGTACAATGCGCCAGCGTTCCGCCGAACCGCAATGGCGGCCTGAGCGCCGAACTCTGGGCCCCTTTGTTCAACTATCCGAGGCGAAGGCGCGAGTTGTGCCCGCAGGCCCGAGCTCAGCCCATCGTGTTCTAGTCGCGCCCCCACGCCAACTGTGCAGTTCGCATCAGCTCCTGAGGGTCCTTGCTGCTTGCACTGACATCCGCCGCGGTTGCAGACAATGCGGACTACTCGGGCGCACTTCTGCATGCGACAAATAGCGCGGCGACTGCCTTGACGCAGAGGCCCTGTGCGGCTGCACGCTCGGGATCAAATATGGCGATCGAGCCCCTCGTCGCCAATGGTCGCGCTGGGAAACTTCACCTCGGCTGTCTGGGGCTGCTCGTGATCCAAGCGCCATACCCACGCTAGCACACGCTAACCCACCGACCCGCCGCGGCCCGTCCATCACACCCACGCACATCCTCGCGACAAGCGAACGATGCACGTACAGTCACGTTGGGAATTCAATATCTTGACGTTTCACATTCACGCCGCATTGGCTCGACCAGCAATTTCGGTGTTGCTCGGCCTGTAACATTCAAAGCACGAGCGTCGAGCGCTACCTCGCATCTTCGCAACGCGGGGGGAGGAGTGGATCTACTTGAGGAGCTGCTGAAGTTTTCCGCTCTTCTGGGCGTCGAGCAGATCGCTGCAGCCACCGAGGTGCTTCTTGTTGATAAAGATGTTGGGCACCGTACGCTGGCTCGTCTTCTCCATCAGATAGGCCTGACCAAAGCAACTCAATCAGTCTCATTTCTTTTCTTTTCTTCTCTTTCATTGTGTGGGCGCAACTTACCTGGATATCGCTGCCCTCGGAACCCATCTGGTCGAGTTCGAGCACGCCGACGCTGCTCTGGTCGAGGCCGAGCTTGGCGATGACGCTCTTGGCCTGGGTGCAGTAGGGGCAGTAGCTCTTGGAGAAGACGGCTACGAGGTGCTCCGAGATGAGCTTCTCTGCTGCTTGCTTGGCTGCCATCTTGCGGGTGTCGTCGAGTGTGGCCCAGTTGGTTCCACCGGACAGGATTGATTGTAGAGCGCCGATTTTGGAGAGCAAAACACACCTGGTTCGGGTGTGTCGATGGTTTTATAGAGGTGGATGGAGATCAGCAACAAGGATGAGGAGGTGTGTGGATCCAGCGTGGAAAGTGTCCGACCGGCTACTTTTTCCTTCGACGACGGTCCGCGCTCGGGCTTAAACAGGCTTAGCTAGGCCGCCCCCGGCCATATGTGGAGGCTGTCAGCCTAAAATCTGCGTCCAGCAGGACGGACGTGCGTGTGACGCAAGTCCAAATGGACAATTGTTTCGGCCGAAAAGAATTCCCACCCATACAACTCCCGCTCGCCCCTCGACATGTCGGTGCACTTGCAACACACCTTCTCATCGTTCGGTCAAGCGGAACACTCCCTGGCGAATGCTCCGTCCTGATCACAAGACGAGCACAAGCAGACGTCCAGCAGCTGTGGCTGCTGCGACGCGCCTGCGAAATTTGACACCCCACAGCCCGAGCTCATTTCGTAAAGTAGTCTCGGTGGTGGCAAAAAGATGAGCTTGGGTTTCTTGGTCGAGTATTTGACCACTTTGCCCGTGTCTTTGGTCCATCCTTGGCCGCAACTCACGATGCTTTGAGGTCTGATCTGATGTTCGTCCCGAAAGCGTCAAGGTCAAGCGTGTCCACAGTCGTCACTTCGTACCTCTCGTCGTGGTGTTGGACGTGACTCGAACACTTTTTCTGCTGTCTTTCACTTTGCACACACTTGGTACTCTTGACGGCTTCAGAGCCCAATCATGCGGTGCTGGCTTGGCTAGACATCTCTGTCAGACGGCGACACGCGAGGTTGGCTGCTGCTGTACAGCAGAGGGCAGAGCGGAACCTGGCTGCCACGGCGTTCGAGCAACAGTGCCTTAGGCAAGGCGACGCTTCGCTGCAGAGCCTAGCAATCGTGCCCGAGCTTGGCTTCTTGCTCCTCCCACACTCTACGCGAAGATTTCCGAGGATGATTCCAAGGTGATCACCAAACCCGACCTTCCGTCCTGCAGAAGCGTGTACTTTGAAAAGGGTAACTTCCATCGACACGCGAGTCTAGCGGACAAAAGCACTACAACGATACAACAGACAATCGGATCGAGAAACAACGGCGTCGTGCAACAGTGTATCGGGAAAAGTAACCCCCCACTTCAGAGAGGGACGAGACTTGTAACTCGGCGATCAGCAGCTGATAGAAGTGGCAATACGACGATACAGAGACATGCATCAATAAACCACGACATGAGACAAGTTTGGGTAGGGACTCGAGATGGACGAGGAAAAATCGTCGACATACACTCGCAATCTCGTATGAAGCACACGATTCCAACTCACACCAACACCAACACCATCCTCAACATCACACACCACCATGAGAAAATTGCACCCGACGCCCATCAGCCAACACCCCCTCCAATCCACCTCCAACTCTCTCCAAAGCTTCGCCAGACCACAAAAGGCCCGTACCTCAGCGACCACACTCAATCTTGTGTCTGACTCTCTCCATCACTTTGTTCGCCCAGTAGACTGAGCAAGGAAGCGCGGCGTCTGTATGATAGCCTATGACGCTCCTGTTTCAACCGTTGCTGCTGTGCAACCTGACCACACTCAATCACCCCTTCCAACGCCACACAAGTCTTGACGAAAATAGTGATACGACGTTGTACAACAAAGACAAGCATGAGAACCAAGGAAAACAACGGGGAAAAACAACACTGTCTCACTTGAAACAGGGAGGGGGCACGTGCAAAAAGGATTACAAGGTATACGTAAGAGAGATCAAGAGACGGTGCATCCCGAATTGAACCACCAGCTCTGCCTGAGCTGTTCGATCCAATGCACCACGAGGCACAGGCGCAGTCTGCGGCTTCGGATCGGCAGCAGCTTGGCCTTTTCGTGCTCGTCGATGGGCATGACCAGCGCCATCCAGTAGCCCAGCCGCTCCACCTCGTCCGCGCTCGGCATGGGCCCGTACGTGTGGTTGAGCCGCGAGAGCAGCCACGGCGCCGAGCCCGATCGGAGCGTCTCGATGAACGACGTGCAGATCTCGGTGAGCTCCTCGATCGACGGCTCGGCAGGCACGGGTTTGAACGGCATCAAGCCATCCTGCTCTTCGTTGGTGTCGCCGCCTTGGTCGTCGGTGGCTGCGCCGGCGTCTTGGCCACCATCATGCGCAGCTTCACCATCCCCATCGCCCGGAGCCGACGACGCAGGTGTGCGGTAGATGGCCATGGCATCCGATTCGGCGCGCGCCATGTCCGGACGGATGCTGTCACTCGCAGCGTTGAAACTGTCGCGGCTGGCTTGGGTGCGCACGGGTGCCGAGGTGGAAGGAGCCATGGCAGGGGCACGCGGACGTTGGCTGGCCTCCTCGGCCTTCTTGCGCTCGAGCTCTCCGCGGCGCCTCAGCACAGCAGCCTCGAGCGCGGCCTCCTCCTCCAGCGAGATGTCGTCGACGCGCTCCACACGGCCGACCGTGTACCCGTCGAGCGAGCCCTTCTCGAGCAGACGGAAGCGGTACGAGCCCACGGTCTCAAGCATGCTTCGGCCGTCGGCGAGCATCTGGACCGACTTGATCTCGAGCATCGTGCCGTACTCTTCCAGGCCGCCGTTGGTTCGGGATGGCAGCACCATGCCGAAGCGCGGATTGCCGCTCTCTAGACAGCGACGCACCATGAGACGGTAGCGCGGCTCAAAGATGTGCAGGATGGTGGGCATGCCCGGGAATGCCAGCGTGCACACAAAGATGGGCGTCGAGAGCCGCGCCTCGCGCTCCTCGTGCTCGATGGCCAGCTTGCGCTGTTCGTACAGACGCTTGAAGCCATAGTGGTGAGGGGCTGTGTCGGGGTCGTCGTCGATGATGTAGCCTGCGCGGCGATCGAGGTGGGAGGCGGCCTTGGTGTCGCCATCTGCGTTCATTGCGATCGAGATGCCGGCATAGGCAGCTTCCTGTGTCGAGTCCGAGTCCATCGCATCCTCGTCCGAGAACGTGGCCGTGTCCGAGACGAGGACCTTGAGGAGTGCGGAGTTGGGGCGGTGGTCCTGGAAGAAGGAGAAGTTGGGCATGTCGGCACGGCAGAGGGGGCATCGATCGCCGTGGTCGAGACTGCGTGCAAAGCAGGACTTGCAGAAGGTGTGGCCGCACGGGGTTGTGAGAGGGTCGTAGAGAAGCAGGTAGCACAGCTGGCACTCGAGCACCTCGACGAGCTCCGAATGCAGTGTCGCGACGGTCTGGATGAGTGGCTCGCCATTGAGGCCGGTCTTGGAGGAGAGCGAGAGGCTGTGTTTGGCATCGACGGCATGCTGATGGTGGTGGTGGCGGTGGTCGTGGCCATCGGCGTCGGTATCGGCTTCGGTGGCGGAGCTGGCGCCTGGATGAAGCTGTGCCGCACGACGTCGCAGGACCGAGTCCACGAGCGGCTCGACGCTGCCGCCTCGGTTCAAGGCGTCACTGACAGTCGAGTCTTCCGTGCTCCAACCAGAATCGGCGTGGTGAGAGGCGAGATCCTCGTCAACGGCAACCGACTCGCTCTTGGCTACCTTGCCCTCGCCGTGCGAAGCGTGGGCCTTGCGGAACGAGTTGGCGCTGGAGGTGCTGTCGTCGCTTCGTCGGCCTCTGCGTCGTTTGAGGTGCGCCTTGCCGCGCTTGCGAGTGGCACGAGCGGCGAGGGGAGGGCGAGAGAAGGCACCGCCGACGAGGTCGGGCCAGAGTCGATCATCTTCCTCTTCCGTGCGTTCGTCGTCGGTCGCAGCGTGGACGGTCCATCCGTCGTCGTCGTCGTCCTGGTCGACAGTGCGAGCACTGAACGTGGCATCGTGCGAAGTCTCGGCGTCCGAGTCGTCCGAGTCACCAGCCTCGCTATCCTCTGCGTCGTCGGAATCGGCGGCGGCCTGCACGCCGCCGACGGTGCCGCTCTCGAGGTCAGACTCGTTGCCACCAAAGATGCCCATGCCGCCATAGGAAGGCCCGGATCGATGTGATCGGCGGCGACCGGATGTCGAGGGGGCATGGCGGCCGCGGAGAGACGAGGGGCCTGTACTGGCTGACGATCTGCCCGTGTGTGACCTTCGTCTTTGCGAGACGCGAGAGCGGACGCCCGAGAGACCCGAAGGTTGCAAGGATGGATGCGAGCGTCTTGAAGACCTGGAGGAGCCAGCACCACGAGCCGAGGCGGTGGATGCAGAAAGCCTAGCACGTCGAGGAGGACGTGGCAGAGGCGAGGATGCATATCGCCTGAGGATGGCGACTGCTTTGCTGAGGGTGACGTCGGTGCGTAGCATGTTGCTGGTGGCGAGCGAAGGGAGGAGGTTGGCAGCTGAGGGGGCGTTGGCGCCGGCTGCGGAGGTGCTTGGCTCGACACCTTGGGGCGGGACAGCAAAGAGGTGAGCGCGAGATCGAGTCTGAGGACCGACGACGGTGAGCCTGAGTGGATGATCGGCCACGCCCATGACGAAGCCATCGACGGGAGGAGCGCCGGGGCCGACGTCCTGGATGCCTGTCGGCAGTCGCTCGGTGTAGGTTGGGATGAGACCGTAGCGAGGCTGATGACCGGCCCAGACGCCAATGCCGCGACCGATGGCGGAGCGAGGGCAACCGTGGCTGGGGCAGGGGACGGTCATGGGGCTGAGTGGAAGTCGAGGCGGGAGGTGGGTGAGGCATGGGAGCGGTGACACGTCGTCTTCCGGGGGGATGGAGGTGGGGAGGACGCGATCCTTGATGCACTGGAGGCAAGAGGAGTGGCCGCAGGGCAGGGTGACGGGATCCTGGACGGGCTTGTTGCAGGCGTGGCAGTTGGCGAGGGTGAGGAGAACCGTGGCGAGTTCGCGTGCGCGACGACGCTGAGCGGCTGTGGGGAGGCGAATGTGGGGTGGTGCGGAGCGAGCAGCTGGAGCGGCCGAAGAGGTGCTGTGTTGTGTGTGCTGCTGCTGCTGCTGCTGCTGCTGCTGCTGCTGCTGCTG